ATAATTTTTTCATATAGACAAAAAATAATTTACTCACTACAAAGATGCAACTTCGTTTCAGTGCATTGAAGTTGCACTTCGACTGGTGAGAACTAAAATGGTTATGAAAAATTCTGTTTTTAAGCAAGCCGTATGGGAAACGTCACTTCTTTTTTCTCTATTTGTTTGAAAAAAATAGATAAATAAATGAAACAAACAGAATTGTTCATAACCATTTTTTCTCACCAGTCGAGAACAAAAATTGTTATGAACAATTCTGCATGTTTTATTTTTTATTTACTTTTTTCAATTTTTTTGAGCAAAATTTTTTTGTCTATATGAAAAACGTATAATAAATAATTATTGCTCTATTATCGGTATTGAGCCCTTTCTTGAATCAATGCTATGAACGTTAGAATCTATATATTATTTTCGTTCTCATTACATTCGTATATATATAGAGAGAGATATAGATAGATAGATCATGCAATCAGATTTCTAGAAGACAAGATAGTTTTTATTTATATTCACATTTATTTTCATTTAAAAGAAAATGAAAGAAATTTTCACGAATTGGATTTCTTTTAAATCTTAAAAATATACGGGTCCTTCCTATAAGTAGTCACACAGTAACTCTCCCATTTTGAGTGCAAATGAAAAACAGCAGACGTTGGAAAGATTTTATGGGTACGATCAAGTAATGCGCGGATAGAAATCTTTGAGACAATTCGAACTGATTTTTCCATTGTGGAATGAAGATGTGGTTGTACCATTTTTTGGTCCTAATCAATACTTAAAAAAGCTGAATCGATCTTCAGAATGCACAAGTGCAGTAATTGAGTTGCCAAGAATTAACGAGAGAAAAAATATATTATCTAATGAAAGAAAAAAGTTCAAGAAAGAAGACGTACATATAAACAAAACATTCAGAAGATAAATAAAATCAAATAAATAAAAATCACATTTTAGAAGCATATATTCCGATTTTAGTCAGGAAAATGATACATTTCACTAAAATAAGAAATAAAAATAATTATTTCAATCATTCAATGAACTAAATAGCTTATTATTGCTTAAACTTAGCTTCAATCGACAGTAAATTAAATAAAGAGAAACGTGATGCTATTGCGACACTCGTTTTATTAAAAATTGCCAATACTTACAAACACACAAATATATACTGATTTTCAAATCGCAAATCTGACACAAGGCCTAAAGTATTAGACAACCGGTAAGGATCGAACTCACTCTCAGAAACAAGCTTGCTAACCATTACCCACGCCATGTGCCACACGCACACACACACACACACAGACACACACACACACACACACACACACATATATATATATATATATATATATATATATATATAAGGCAAGATGTGTGTGTGTGTGTGTGTGTGTGTAACGAATTTTCGACGGATTTGCACCAAAATTTACACGCACATGCTCCAAGTTACTGGGAAGGCCAAGACTGACTTTGCATTTCCCAACTCCCATCGATAGTGGAAATAATCGATTTTTTCATGCTTCTACGACAGTTTTCAAGTAGTTTCCGGCCATTTTTTACTGGCCAGAGTGAGAGCCTATAGCTGGCTGCCACGAATAGGCAGGAAGATTCAATTGGCCAGCGTGAGAGCCAACAGCTGACTGGCACGAATTTTAAGTAGTATGCTAGCATGCAAAAAAAAATTGATAGCTGCATTGGTCACAAGTGGGAAAAATTTAAATCTGCAAGGCACTTTACTCCAATTGGCTCATTCGCTTGCTTAAACTCAACGTTGATTCTGATTCCGCAGAACTGGGTTGGGTGTGAAAAAGTATTTGATGTTAACATTCTTTTTTCATTCGGTTTTTTTCAGTTACGAGTCATTTTTAAAAGCTGATTATTTTGTGTTCATTTTGTTTACTTCTTTTTTCGTAACAGATTTAATATTTAGTATAGAGCTTAGAAAAGATTCACAGTGTAGGATAGGCAAGAAGTAAGGCATGTAGCAACATCAGCACGGCAAAGGGCACTCCTTTAAAAGCAAGGAAGGGCAAAAAAAATTTTAAATCAAGTGATAGTGATTGTTGTATGAATCGTACGATTTTTGAATCAAGCACGGGCAACGCCGAACCATAATGCTAGTATATATATATATAAATATATATATATATATATATATATATATATATATATATATATATATATGAAATGGACAAAGTTTATATGTTTATACGTTCTTTTTTATCGATACAAATATTTAAGTGAATGCTCTGTCTATAATAAACAGTATTAACAACTTTTACCGGCCTGAATATCCGAGAAATTTTCATAGGATGGATATTTAATATGAAAAATTTCTCGAACATTCAGACCGGTAAATGTTGGTATACGGTTTATTATAAACAGGGCATTTACTTAAATATTTGTATCTATAAAAAAAAAGAACGTATAAACATAAAAAATGTCTTTTTCTATATATATATATATATATATATATATATATATATAGTGTAGAAATATGTATCAACAC